AAACTAGTCTAATTTACTATTTTTATTGAAGCCACAAGAGAATAGCTTCAAACTAATATTAGGAAACTAGTCTGACAGAGGAAAACGAAATGAATGTCTTGATCGCAGTTACCGAAAACCCACACACATGTATAATGAGTATTTCCAAAGAACAAGAACTTAGTTTACTGCTGTGTTAAAAAAAATTCTTTCTACAAACAAAATGCAAGCTTACCGTATTCCAATGAACCAAGAATTAAATAGTGATTTTCAGAAACGAATAGTGTTAGGCGAATGGGCATTGGAAAAAATAATCATCAGAGAGATTTTTTTTGATCATGTCCTATTTTAAGATGAGGCTACATTCTATTTTAAACTTTTAAACTAGAGAGCTCAGCGGGTCTACTTGCATCATCGCAAAGGGTATTAATCTGGAGACGGGTAGTATTGACTGAATTAATTTGTATAATTTGTAAAGGTGGATGATGGAGTTGGCATGCAAGTAACGATTCATCCCTACCGTCTCACGACGTTATCATACAGTAAAACCAATCCCAAGGTTTTCATCACTCTGTTTATCAAAAATCCACTCATACCAATCGTTAGTTGCATGCCAACTCTCATCATCCACCTCCATAAATTAATTCAGTCAATAATACCCTTGTCATCATATGTTTCGATTTTTGTAATTTTTGTTTTCGGTGAATAAAATTCTACTTTCGAACAACCATAACTTTGTGAAAATTAAATATACGGTAATAATAAAAAACGAATCTCTTTGTTTTATAAGCTTCATTTTATATTCAGACAGTTTTCCCGATAAAATCTAATTTTTTTTTGAGTTATTAGCAAAAAAAAAACCGTTTAAAAACATACTTTTTGGCGTGTAATTTGTGAACTTTCAGTCACGAATACCTCTAAAATATTAGCATATTCACTTTTCGAAAAAACTCTAAAAACATTTTTGTCTTAAAACACTATTTTAGCGACTACCATGGCTTTTTGATAAACATTTTCCATCCCCAAGTTGATGTGGCAACCATCCCCAGAAGAAAAGCACATATTGCCATAGAGTAGATTTTGACCTTTAAGTTATTTTTAAATACTGTCAAAAATTCAAGCAAATCGATATAATAAAAATTTAGAGGTTTTCTACTATTTTTACTGCAATAAAGAAAATGTTGTCCATTTGTCCTTAAAAAAAGCAATAATTTGTCCAATTTTCAAAAAAGGGGACTCAAACCTGCCAGAAAATTATATGCCAGTCTCACTGCTACCAATTATTTCGAAAATTGTCGAAAATTGCATGGCACAACAAAGAGCAAATTTTTTTTAGGTCAATGGTATGTTTTCTAAATGTCAATTTGTTTTTCGCAAAAAATACAGTCTTCGATATTTTACACCTTATATTGTATATTATATAAGCTTCAATTTCTAAATAACAGCAACTTAGTGAGTGTAGAAATTAAGAGAAGAATATACCTGGCGAATAGAGCTTACTTTGGACTAAAGCAGTTCTTAACATCACACATAATTAGCAGAAAAACCAAGATACTAATATATAAAACTCTTATTAAAGTCCTGTCCTGACATACGCGTCAGAGACATGGACTATGATAAAAAGCGACGAAGAACTGTTAGGCCGCTTTGAAAAACGAATACTTAGACACATATACGGAGGAGTACAAGAAAGCGGGATGCGACGCAGGCGCTACAATAGTGAGTTGTATCAATGCTATAAAAAATGCAACATCGTCCGGTCTATTAAACTTTATAGACTAAGGTGATTAGGACACCTTGAAAGAGTGGACCCTGGAGACCCCCAAAGACAGAGATTCTATCAAGAGCCAATAGGAACCAGGAGGAGAGGCAGGCCAAGATCTAATGGAGACTAATTCTTGAACAGGCCAAGACCCACTCAGGGTTGTAGAGCCAAAGATGATGATGATAAGCTTAAATTTACCTTAGTCCTTTTGTGTGACTTGAGCAAGGCTTTTGACTTGATCAGCCATGAAATCCTCTTGCAGAAATTTGAAAAATATAACTTTTGTTACTTTTGTTTTCAGCACGCGCGCCATGTTTTGGAAGGAAACACATAACACAGACATATGATTTGTGAGGTTATGTAATTGTTTATATTTATATTTAATTATATTTATGTTATTATATTTAACAATGTTAATATACTTGTATAGTATGTTTATGATTGCCGTAACTCAATTAAACTGGGTTAATTTTTTTATGCACACCACATGCAACAACACTGGTTCCCTCTAAAACATGGCGGAACGTCTGCGCGTACTTAATTTTCCGTGAAGAGTGGGCATTCTGATTGTTTATTATTCTGTGGTTTAACTTAATAAAAATAATTTTTAGTAACAGGGGTGAAGATAAACACACTAAAATGATTTGAAATTATAATTAACATTTTAATAAAAACATTTTATTACAAAAAGAAAGTTACTTATTTAAAATCATATGCAGAGAAGTCCAAAACAAAACAAAGCTCGCCTCATCGACAAATTTTGGGGGGAATTAATACTTTTTTATGTTATTTAGAGGAACATTGTATTCGTCACGAATATAAGGCCATATAAATTTTCCCAATTTTGAGAGTTTTAGGAACTTACCATTAGCTTCATCACCTGTAATCGCTGAAATTTGTCCTACAAAATGTTTAATATTCTTTTTAGTTTGATATTCTATTACAACCCATGTCATTTGCTTCTATATCATTAATGTGAAAGTATTCTGTTTCCTCCGCAATATTACTTTGAATGTCTGCAACTTCATGGTATTCTTGGTCAAAATTTTCACTCACGCTCTCTGTTCCGGAACTTGCTTCATTGCTTTCTTCAAAAACTTTTTTCTTCACAATTTGTGTCTTGCTTATAGAAGGCATGTTATCGTTGTCAATTTCTTTCTCTGGACTGTCTACACACGCAACTGATCTTCTAGGTATAACATTCAGTCTATTTCGTTTTATTGTAGGCTCACGTTTTTTGGGATTTCTCTGTTCTTTCAAATAATCTAATAGTACCTTTGATACATCAGCACTGTTACGATGAGTGGTTTGCTTCTCACTAGGAATTTTTGCTAAAAGTTCTTTAGACAAAGGACAAATACCACAAGCATGAAACCCAGTTCTAGCGTTAAGCAGCAGACGTGCGCCATTTTCTGAAAAAGTTTTTTAATAATCTTGGAAACAAACTTTTCAACAGACGATGCGTTTGGATTGGCTTTCTTCCACTCGTGCAGTAACTATTGTTTCCAATAAATCTTCTTTGGTACAAAGAAGCTAACGTCGAGAGGTTGGCAAACATGCGTTGCATTTGGCGAAAGACAAATGAAAGCAATGTTATTATCTTTACAAATATTGAGCACTTCTTTTGTAAAATGACTCGAAAGATTGTCTCCTATTAAGAACTTCTTTCCTTTAATTAAACGAGCATGAGGCAAAATAAAGTCTTAAACTAATCTGTAAAACAAATTGCATCAAACCATCCATGATAAGATCGATTATAACATGTACTTTTACTGCAGCATTTCTTTTCACAACATGGGGTACTCCTAGGACCCCCTTGGCGTCAAGAATAGCAAAAATTTGTAGCCTTATAAACTACATAAGGCGTTAATATATCTCCAGTTGGCCGAAATACATAACATAATTGTCACAGTACTTTTAGTATAATTAATTTAATGTCTGGATATTTGACACCTCTTTGATAAATTAGTTTTTTTCCCAAATCGCCCATCGCCCATGTATTCTGTTCATTAACGTAACCTTTTTTAATTAATTATCTAATTACCTTTAAAAATATTTTACGTGTCCGCTTGCGTCCGCGTTTCAAACTAAACTAACAATAAAACAAAAAGCAGTGCCAATTCAATCTAGGTAGGATGCAAGATCCTGCAAGTTTTGACCTGATGAATATCTTCACCCCTGCAGTTAACTTAGCCCCAAATTCAAGCGAAAAGTGTATAAGTTGACAAATTTTAACATTATAACGAAACTTAAAAACTTATTCAAAATTAGTAACTTGTATTTTTATCTACATTTAATGATTCGTTGAAATATTACCAACAGTTGCCAATATTTTTAGTATAATGATTTTTATATCAAAGTTTAAAAATATTCATTTTCTTATAAATTAAGTTAATAATTTCGAGGCCGCGTTTTTAGTATACCTGTACAAGAAAAGAACTCTTTAATTTTTACATAAAATATGTTCAACATACATTTACATTGAACATAATTAGCCTAAACTTTACTAATATTAATAACAGAAAAAAATATGCATGTTGGAAACATTTTCGAACTTTTCAGTCAAATTCACCCCAGCGGTCAACTACACCCCATTTTACAGTAGGTACAGTTAATATCTTGGTATATTTGTCCCAGCCAAACTCATTTTTGAGATTTACTTCTAAGATTAGATATTATCACACCTAAGAGACCAAGCTAGACGAGGTCCAACAATTGGTTCCCAAAGAAAGTTGTGAGTTTTATTGTTCTACATTGGCTACCAACTTTTGAAGGTAGTTATATTGTTATTCATTGGCACTAACCGTTTCAGATGGAAAACTTTAATTTAATTGGTACACTAATAAACTGACATGAAGAGAAATAAACAGAATACCTAAAGGTAGTAAGAATGTTATTAAATAAAGATATGGAGCTAAAATGGGCTAAAGATTCGGGTGAAAGATAATTTGCAGAATTTACGGATATTTAAAAGAGAATGTCTGGCGAAAAGAGACAATAATGAATTACTGCAAATATACAGACAACCAACAATAACATTGCTTGCTAAAATTTAAAGATTAAAATGACTTGATCACAAAGCTAAAATAAAAGAAACCACAATTAAAATAATCACCTAAACTAACTGATAAGATAACTGTTTCACCTATTTTTTACATGTACAAAGTACCAAATAAAATCAAGTATTAAACAAGAATAAATATGCATCATTGAATGTCTATGAATTCATCATTTTAAAAATACTTTCACAACTTACCTTATCTCCAATTTTCCCAGTCCACCATCCTTCATCTCCAGATATTTTTGCATCTTCAGACAATACTTCAACAATTTGTCCCTTAAGCAAAGATAACTCATCTCCACCCTGGGCATTATAATCATACAAAGCCGTCCGAAGATAAGGAAAATTATTTTTTTGAGCAAGGGGGTGTTGCATCCAGTGTTCCACTTGAAACTTTTTTCCATTTAGGGATCGTTCCATGTGCCCCAGCTTATACTGATAATAATGAAAGTGCTTCACCAGAGAAGGCATCCGTTTAGGTGGGTGGAATCTGTAAAAATTAGCTAATTCAGTTCTAAACAATCTTATACTTACAACATTTAGAAGAAACCATTATTATAAAGACAGTGGCAGTTCTTATGTTCAGTCAGATGAGTAATTATACTACAGGGAATGCTATAAACTCCTACATAGGACAAATAGTTGTAGTTTTTAACTCATCTTAAGCTCTCTTTTATTGGCTTCATGAGTGTGAAGATCTGTCAAGTTTTAAGAAACTCACATCAATATGTGGCCTAGGTATGATGTTTTTCTAACTTACTGCATTGAAATGTTCTCATTCTTTGCCTATTCTCTGTAGCACTTCTTTGTTTGAGGTATGCAATGTCTATGAAATCTTGAGGATTATTTGGTACATCCACATTTTTTGATTTTTTGAGGGTCCACAATTCAACTGCATAGAAAAGAATCAACCACACTTAGCATTTTGTAGATGAATATTGAGTTCCATTCAAGAATTACATAGGAATTTTTTGATATTTTCGTAAGATTTCCTGGACTGTTTTATTCTCGATCCTATTTCTAGATCAGGATTTAGGCTGCTATTGATCCAACAGCCCAGGTATATCAGTTATGATAACCACCCCATTATATTGAATAAGATCAAAAGTAGTAATATGAAAAAAGTCAGAAAAAATAATCAGACCATTGCATATAAATCAAAAAATAATATATTATTATGAAATTGTTAAATTGCAACTATAGATGCTTGATGATGATGATCAGTAAAAGAAACTTTGCAAAAATGGTATTGTCTGAGTTTGTAAATTGAGTTCTTAGGACAATTTTATTAAAGGATAGTACATGAAACCAACATATGAATTCCTGTTAGACAAAAAATTATAGGAGGTGATTGGTTTTTAATAGGATAGAGAATTGGACACAATCTATCATAGTCATATATCTTATCAGTCAATAATGATTGTAAAATTCTCTTTTATTCTTGGTTTGCTGATCCTAGTCTAAACTGTATAGTAAATTTAGTATGTAATTACTTTTCAGTACATTGGTTAAATTTTGACCTACTGACAGTGACTGGACATTACTATAGAACCCAACATATATGCTGGTAGTCAATATTTAAACAAAAAATATTGACATGCAGTTTATTACAATAAACTTGCAACAAAATAGAATTGCATCAATTAGAACAATATATATATATGTATATATATATATATATATATATATATATATATATATATATATATATATATATATATATTTGTAAATTTTATAGACATTTATAGATTAGTATTTACAAATGCAAAGTTTTTAATGAAAATTAATCAACATCCTCTTCAGCTTTTGCTTTTTCAGAGGTTGCTGTTCCTTACTCTTCATTGCCACTAATTTCTGTCCATTGGGTCTTCTTCACCTAAACCTATCTCTCCGAAGTCTTCTGCCACACAGCCCTTTCATCTTCTTAGTTTTCCTCTACCTATCCTTCCATCAACTTCTAACAGCTCTATCCTTCATCCTACATTTCAATGTCTGACATGACCACACCATTGTGGTCTTTGTTCTTGAATCTTTTTTGAGGCTGAATTCACTGTGGCTCTTTTGCTAATCAAGTTGTTCCTGATCCTGTCCCTTCTAGTCTTACCCAACATCACTGTAATATTTTCATTTCAGCTACTCCTATCTTCTTTTCCTGAATCCTCTTTAAAGGCCACACTTCACTACCATACACCAATGCAGGTCTCAACACACTTTTGTATATTTTCCTTTCAGGATTCCCTGATTTTTCTATCACAAAGTACCCCACTTATTTGTTTAAAGTTAAACCAACCAGCCTGTATCACATGGGGCTTTTCTTGATCAAGTGTCCCATTTTCTGTTATGTAGGAGCCAAAACATTTAAATTCTCCTACTCTTCCTAGTTTTTCTCCAAGCAATTCTATGTCCCCAACGATTCCTCTACCTCCTAACCACATATACTCCGTTTTTGACCTGCTAATATTAGGTCTCTTTAATAGTCCTTCTCCTTGGCATAAACCCAAAACATTAATTTTAACCCTCTATAGTTTTTACAGTCCCGAATGTCCCTTTTATCTTTACACAATGATATCATCACACTCTCTACTTGCATTGGACATCCTTTCTTCCTCATCAGTATAGTATTTCTTATATATATATATATATATATATATATATATATATATATATATATATATATATATATATATATATATATATATATATATGTATATATAAGAAATACTGGATATTAGTGACTGTCGATATAAACAAACAACACAGTTTATTAGGGTTGCAGTCAGAATATTGGCCAGGATGTTAAAAAAAAACACTCTTTTGACTTTTTGTCGAGCTTTCGGAATGGTTTTATTCCTTTTTCAAGACAATGTAAAAGACAATTATGTAAATATTTAAAAAATATCACAATTCTTCAGTGTAACTTACTAGTCATTGAGATTATTTTTGTAAGCATTGACACTCAACATTTATACCACACATTAAAATATACAATTATGGACATAATACATCATAAAATTTTTAAAATTTATTGTAAAAATAGTAAAACTTGGTTGATGGCATGTTTTGCTGGTGTATATTAACTCATACAGAGAGTGGAAAGTAAAAACACTGTAATTAATATGTAATTAGGTGTAATTGATGTTATCTTTCTTTACAAGAAATACTAGAGGCCCTTCTTAGGTGACTATACTTTTTAAACCTGTCTTAATGGTATGCAACATATTATACATAGAGGTGTAATTTTTGTACAGGTAAATATTTATTTTATTTTTGGTGTTTTTCTAGTAAATAACAATAAATGTTACTTAATTTGTCTATGTGGGACATATATATATATATATATATATATATATATATATATATATATAATATATATATATATATACTACTCATCATTTGCCACAACAATCCTAAACAACAAATCTAAACCTCCACAGGTATTCCTACTGCCTTATCATTCTTCATCCTATTTTAAGACTCAACAACCTCATCTGTTGTTATCCCTGGTATTGCATTCTGAATAACACAACGAAAATGAATTAATATACACTACTGTTATTCATGATTATTCTTCTTTTTCAATAAAAGAAGTCTGCCACAATAACTTATTTGGGCTATTAATACTGAGAGATATAGATTTTTTTGTATGTTGTATGTTTCCAATAATGAATATGTCAAAATATTACCAAGCTGAGCACATGGAGAAAATTACTACCCTACTAAGCGAAAAAGGGGTATCTGTAATTTATATTGTTTTGAGTTAAGAAGGTATTTATTGATTCGCATTGTTATGTTGTGTACACTATTTAAGTTCAAATTGAAAATATATGTAGTTTATTTTCGTTTTTTTTTTTTATAAAAATGTTAAAATTTTGCTATTTATATTTTTTCTAAAAAAAAATTTGTAGTTACCCTCATTATTTAAGAAAGTAGTATTAGGTACTAAGATACAAACACATTATCTACATATACACATTTATTTTCAAATGATTTGCTTCAAATAACAATATAATTAAGATACTAAATTAATTACCAATCATCATCAATATTTTATTCAAGGCATTAAGTGGTAGGTATTTCTTTCCAAAAATTTAACTGAATTTTTGGCATGATAACATTGTCAGCTTCTAAAAGCTTGTGATATTTTTTTATTTTTCTTCTGTGATGCCTCTTGGTTTTTCTTTTATTTTTAGAGCTGGTATTATTCCAGTCTTTTTAATTTTGGCATTAAAAAAATTAATGTTAATTCAGGGTCACTAAAATTATTTTTATAAATTAGTGACATTGATCCCTTGTGGACTATGATTAGAACAATATACTGAATATATAGCTGCTCACTGTACGCTTTTTTAAGTTTTATAAGCGGATGGAAAATCCTGTCAGTCATAAACATTGTGGAGTTCTATTTCCAAAACTACAACCCTCCCAGAATTAATTGATGGACTCGACCGTTACTTGATGGAAATTCATTTTATGTAACAATAAAACACTGAAAACTTTGTTTTCAAATTTCCACAAAATTTATTTTAACTCTTATCACTACAGCTGTTTCAGCTGATTGCCTTTCTCAAGTGATCTATTTTTGGCATGAGTTTACAATTTATAGTCTCTTATGAAATAGGTTGAGGAGGGGGGAACTGTTTGTCTCAAGTTGGTCATTCAGAATTATATCTGTGTTTTTTAATTTGTTGATTTCAATAGATTCTAACAAAGATAGCTTAAGGCCTTTATTTGGAATGTGAAGAATTTTAAATTTTTCATTAAAAGAATGATTATGATCTAGAACGTGAAGTGCGTATGTCGAATCTGTTTTTCTATTATTGAAAGCCCTTTTATGTTCTGCTATTCGTTTATTAAAGTTTCTACCAGTTTGACAGATGTAAGTTTTTAGGCAGTCGCCACATTGAAGTTTGTACACACCACTATTTAAGTGTTTTTTATTTTGGCTCTTGTTATTTTTAATATATTTGCCTAGGTTGTTATTTGTTATGAAAGCTGGTGTTATTTCTTTCTTTTTTATGTGTTTGGCTATTTTTGTTGTTAATTTGCCTATATATGTAATCGAGCAGAAGGTACTGGGTTTTTACTCTGGCGATGGAAATACTAATTTCAGGGCTTTCTTGTGTAGTTTTTGATTTAACATTTTATTAATTGTTTGTACGTTGTATCCGTTGTTGCTGCTGTTACTGCTTTTGCATTTATATGAATAAACGCAAAAATTTGATTTTAATAAAATGCAATAATAAATGACAAAGTAACTCGTTATCCAGTATCTTTCCCCAAATCAGAATTTCAAAAACATTGCAAAAAATCAGTCAGTAACTAAATAAAGTAAGTAAATTCGTAAAGAAATCAATAGTATTTTTTTGTATCAATAGTATTTTTGTGTAAAATAACTTAGACTATACATTTTATTATAAATACTATTTTGTGAATTTGAGGTTATGGGAACAAAACAGACAACTTACCTCTAAATCTTTAGTAAATCACTCACTAGGTTTAGAATTTAATGTTTACATAAAAAAATTACAGACAGAAGTATAGAGAAAGTGCTGATGAAGTTGGCTATAAACATCATGTCAAATTTGTGTTTGCGGTATTGTCATGTCCTTATTATGTATATGTTTTATGCCTCAAATATGCTTTGAAACAGTACATTGTTATATTATTTTATGAAATCGGATATATTTTTTTAAATATTAAACTTAAATTATATTAAAATATAAATATTTTATTATATAAAATTTATAAATTTATATAAAACACGAACGAATGAATATTTGTTTCTTTTGATATTGGTTGTAGTTATATATTAGAAAAAAAATATATAATTGGCTTTGGTAGATTAGCAAATAAACTTGGCAATACTGTCAAAACTTTGAAAACACTAGCTGCCAGATTGTAACAGATGTTCAGCAGATTTCAATTTTATGACTATTTTCTTATAATTTTGGGATAAAATGATACCTGAATAAAAGCTTAAAAAATCAAAGTTAATTTAAATTATAATAAATTGAATTTGAATTAGTTAAACTTCTTTTAAAAACTTAAAAGACTGTTTAGTAACATTAATTAATATTATATCACATGTGATTTATTTATCATATGGCAACACTGCCAAATACAAATTTGTCACTAATTTGTAGCTAGTTCATCAGCACTTTCTCTATACTTCTGATAAAATTTATTATTACAACTTTGTATTACACCAAAAATAAACAAATAAACTAAAAGAAATACTATTTTTATAATTAAGCTACTAGATATGAAAGATGAATGTGCTCAGTTTATTAAGTAAAATTACCAAGCAACTTTGACAATAAGTGATGGTTACTAAGCTCCAGCTGTAACTGCATAAGTTCATGTAGATACAACCATTATTGCCTAGTATCAATACTTACAGCCAAAAAGTATATAACGCATGATTTGTAGATATGCTTGCAAGAAGATGTGGCAAATTCACTCTAGTATTAGATAGAATAACATGTATTTATTGACTAGACATTAATATTTCATTTTTAAAAAAGAGTGTAGATACCCCCTTTTTGTTTAGTAGGGCAGATTACACTATTGGTTTTTTTATTTTAGGAATATCATATCATTTTTTATGTCTTTTGTTTGCAGTATTTACAATTATTGACTGTTATGACTTAAGTTATGCATAGTACACTATTATACTATATTTTGAAAATGGGGACATAAATACCTTAAATAAATAAATATCATTTTAAAATGTTCTGAATTGTCATTGTAAGTGAGAGCGATAAAATTACAGTATTAAAAGAAATTCGTTTCTAAAGTAACAAAAGAAAAATAATTTTTTTAATTTTTTAAAACTTGCCCTTTACAGTTTCAATCAAATTTCCATTTTATGTACATTAATTTCAAAAGTAAATGCCACAATGAAATACTTTCAGAACAATATTTTGAATTGTGTATTTTGTTTATATCTACAAACTGGCTACCTATTATAGACTTATTAGCTAATCATAGACTTATTGATCACTATGATATTGTCATTTAATATGAATATTAGAGGTTCCATAAGCAAAAAAAAATGATTCACTAGTTATAGAATTAAAAATCCCAAAGAAATTTAACAAAAATATTAAAATTAAAAACCTAAAACTACTTCAGATATAAATCTCTACTTCTCCTTTTAATTTTCTCATGCCCAGTATGAAAGCTACCTTCATTCATGTTATAATGTAAAATAATAAAACAGACAAGTAAACAACTTTTTAACTGAAGTAAAATCCAATATGCATGTTCTTATATTGTGTGAATATGCCCTATATTTTGCACTAAATTCTCATCCAGAAGCATGCATATGTATTTACAATATACTAGTATATATGATAATATAAAAAAATGTTTACTACAATTTACCAATTAAAAGAGATAGTCCTTGTTGGATAAAATATAAACTGAACAAAATCCATCATATTTTAGGTGTTTCATTGACAGAATGCATAGGGCCAGATGGTTACACAAACACTGCTTGATGTTTACTATTATTGCACTACACTAAGAGGTTTTAAAGAAATGTATAAACTTATTGTTTAAAATTAAAGTCGCGAAATAACATTAACGTTGTCTCAACATTATTATTTTAGAGTTGTTGCTAATATCAATGTATACAAATAAATCTCTTATTTATTATGCTTATAGTAGCCATCTTTTGCGCAATCGCTAGCAAATTGTCAAATATGTACATAGAATACTAAGAAGTAATGACAGACAGATAGACAGAAGTATAATATATTTTCATGAAATATGTTGACATTATTGACATATAGAGAATAGGCCTTTTCTTCAAAAATCGGTCAGCCATTTTTTTCGAACAGTTTTGTTATAGACCTACATGTTAGGTTAGGTTAGGTTAGTTTAGTACGGTCCGTCCCCACGCTTCGTAGACTAAAGGTCGATTCACACACATCAGTCACGTCATAGTCACGGTACCGAACCGGTCCTGTTTGGTCACAGAACTATCAACTATCTGACAGCTGGCAAACTGTTCGTCAACTGATGAGTGTGAATGCTGGCGCCATATTTGTATTAAAGAATATTTTGTATGACGGATTGTTCGATTCGGCGCAATCACTGTGACGAGATGGTGACGAGACGTGACTGATGTGTCTGAATTGACCTTTACTAGGTAAGTCTAGGAACCGTGGTCCGTCCCAAACCCTTTTTTCAGTCCGTCACTAAATGTGACGTCATATAGGATTTTAAGAATGTCGAAAATTATTGCTTGACATTTTAGTTAAATCTGACAGTTGCAGGATCGTAATCGACTAAATGTGAAAAGATTATTTTTTTAAATAGGTATGTAGTCTTCGTTGTTTCTCGGTATATCTCGGCATATTTAAATTATTTTTATGACAATAAATACAAAATTAAATTTTCACTGTAAAATGTCTGAAAATACTAACCTGGAATGACAATTATCATTTTATTATTTGACATTGTGAAAGTATTGTCATGTGTAAGATAATTAGCGTCAAATTATATTTATGCGCATCATTGATTGGATATCTATTTAGCGTATTCTAAACTCCAACCAATTATACATCCGTAAGTAGAATTTGCTTTAATATGCAAATACTCGTGAACGATACATAATTTTCTATGTTCTATGTATAATAATCACAGACTCACGTCTTTTTCTGTCACTTCTAGCTTTATGCGTTAGAGAGAATTCGATCAACTATGACGCACTGAAAAAAGGGTTTGGGACGGACCGTAAGAAATATTAAACTAATAGCACAGAATAATAAACAATCAGAATGCCCACTCTCAGATGCCGCCTTTGAAGTTTCTCAGCACGCGCGCCATGTTTAAGGTCGATTCAGACACATCAGTCCCGTCATAGTCTCGGCGCCGAACCGGTCCTGTTTGGTCACAGAACTATCAACTATCTGACAGCTGGGAAACTGTTTGTCAACTGATGAGTGTGAATGCCGGCAATATATTTGTATTAAAGAATATTTTGTATGACGGATTGTTCGATTCGGCGCAATCACTGTGACGAGACGTGACTGATGTGTCTGAATCGACCTTTAAGGTTTCGAAGGTAAGATTCGAACTCACGACCTTTAGGTTTAAAGCATGATATAAGGAAACAAGGTATGCTCACTAGGTGGACTTGTTTTTGCACATTTCTGCGCCGACCAAAATCCACCATCTTTTCAATATGTCACATGCGTGTAGGGATGGTGACCTGATCCCGTACCAGTTACTTTGGAACATGTATTTTATTTATACTTGTGGAACTGATCCCTAACACCAATATATTATAATAAACGAGTACGGGTCATGGACGTATAAATAAAGATCTTTATTTATACGTCCATGGTACGGGTACTGTACTCATAGTAAGTGTAAGTGAGCATACCTGACCTGATCCACAAAAATACTTGGATCAACCACCTCTACATGCGTGACGTCTGCTTTGTTTACTTTTGCATTTTTTAACCTTACTTTGCAATGTATTGGAATTTAAAAGTAAATTTGTTTTTGTTTTGTTTCGATTTTTAAAAAATTATTTTAGCAAGAGTCTGTTCAGATCATTTTAAATATGAATTAATTGGATTAATGTGTAATATTAATTTTATTTTATTTAATTTAACTACGATATTTCGTATCAATTTTGTACATATTTGAATTGCCGCCTTCAAAATGGCGGATTTTGGTCGTAAACGCGATTGGCTGTTCAAAATAGATGCGCGTGAGCATACCATGTTTCCTTATATCATGGTTTAAAGGTAGGCGCTCTTACCACTGAGCTACAGAGGAGGTTTTAGTAAGTCAATTAAACCGGGTTAATTTTGATTATGCGCACCACATAAAAAACGCTGTCCCTCTAAAACATCGAAGGAGATGCGCGTACTTAATTTTCCATGGAGAGTGTGTATTCTGATTGTTTATTATTCTGTGCTAATAGTTTAATTTCTTTGAATATAAGTAACAATAAAGTGCATGTGAACATGTGACCGAGGAGAGGAAGCATATATTTCCTATCATCTGAGCAAGGAGCGATGGTTTTAATTTACTTTAATTTATTTTATTTTAGTTTGTACTATTTTTTTTAATTGATTTGATAATCGATTCGAATCGACTTCAATAATCAATTCGATAATTGATTTGATTTATTTGATTTCGATTAGATTCGATTCGACGATAGATTCGGTTCGATAGTTCGATGATCGATTCGATTCGATAGAGTATAGAGTAATAGAGTCATAATCATCGATCATAATAAAGTGCATGTGAACATATAATTAAAATAAAATCAAGATGTGGCACTCTATGAGTGACCAAGGAGATGAAGCATAGCTTTCTTATTGTCCAAGCAAGGAGCGATGGTTTTAATTTACTTTAATTTATTTTATTGTATTTTATTTTATTTCTATTAAAATTAAGAATGCTGCTTAGAATAAATATATTATGATGACTATAAATAAATTGATCGAGGGTCTTCTTTTTCTTCCTCTTTATAAGCAATTCTGCTTGTTCATTGGCGGAATAATACCTCCATGGAAGGTTGTCACTCACGACACGAGTCTCCTCTCTTCTGCTTATGTGGTTATTCCATTTTTTTTTTCTATTTTGTGTCCATTCATTTATACACTGTATGTTATTTCTTCTAATGTCTCCACTTCTCTTTCGATCTCTCAGCCTATTTCCTGTAATTCTTATCATCTCATCTCTGCCGTTTCAAGTAGCCTTTGCGTTGTGGCTATGTCTGATCTTGTTTCTGAGGCATATGTCATTATTGGTCTTACACTATCTTTATAAATTCTTGATTTCATCTTAGTGTTAATGTGTCTGTTTCGCATGTGTCATAAGTATTATTAAGGCATACTGCCAGTCTATTTGCTTTTTGTTCAATACTGATGCCATCAATTTCTATTTTATATCTGGTTCGTTCTTTACTGACTACCATTGTTTTAGTTTTCTAAGATGAGATTATCATATTAAATTCTTTTGCTCTTATCCCTTTTAGTCACTGTGTCGTCAATTGACGACACAAGAATTTTAACTTTGTTTAAGTAAATATTACAGGATGTTATGGTATAGCAACAGTGTAGTTATCTCACAACATCCAATCTTAATTAGATTTACTACCCGTAATATAATCTGTTAAATTCGTTGAACTAAAGCAGTTTCTCTGTTTACATTCACAACGGTTTATGAAAGCTATCAATGCTACCAAAATTATTATATTTTTTTACCCTTCTAAAACTGAGATAAATTGTGTTCTTTTCAAATATCGGAAGCTTCTAGGTGCAAATAATAAAATTAAATACTAAGTACACTTCAAAATTTCCATAATATGTCAAATTATTTTTTTGAAATTATATGTCGTCATTGGACGACATCGTAGGTACTCAACGACTTGAGTGATAAACATTTTAACGGTTATTATTAGATCTAAAAATGAGTCAAATAAAGAGATTATGACCTCTTTCCGGCCATCTAAATAAACTTTTTAGTTCATTTTAGGAGTTATATTGCAGAAGCTTTAATTTCATGTCACATAGGAGCTAGAAAAATAAAGCGCCTGTCAAATGGAACTAAATCAGAACCGTTGAACAATAAAAAGAAACAGGAAAACCGGCCTATTGATGATGAAAAGTTTGACAGTATAGCACATTTTCTAATGCATGCAGAAACGAAATCTGAAGATGGAAACTCCCAGAATGTAAAGGCAGTTCCCGTATTCTTTGTCAAAAATGTAAAACAAAAATTGTTTTTTACAATTTCATAAACCGAAATTTTGTTTAGTATATTATAATCATTAAATCATGTTTTTTAAGTAAATAAATGTATTTTTATCCTAACGTTTAGCTGTAAAATTATATGTGATACTCATTAGTTTGTAACCATCAGTTAGTCACAATATCGTCAATTGACGACATCAAAAACGGGCCTTATTTTAATAAAAAAAATGGTAATATTCTTACCAAAAATTATTAAGAATACCATAATTGGTAGGAATTATTAACAAAATAATTTTCATTGCGCTAAAAAAAAACCGTGACCGAAAGGGTTGTTAAATCTGTGGACCAGTTTTTTGCAGACTATCTTCATCTTGGGCTATCAATATTGCTTCATCTGCGTAATAGAGTATTTTGATTTCTTTATTTCCCATTTTGTATCCTCTTCCTTTATTACGCTTTTGATGATTTCATTTATGATTAAATTAAAGAGCACGGGGCTCAATAAATCCCCTTGCTTTATTCCGTTGCCTATTTCTATAGGTTTTGTAAGTTGTCCATCTATTCTGACTTCCATTTTGTTGTTTTGGTAGTTTTTTTCGATAGTTTTTATAATATTTAGGGGAGCTTTTCTATTATACAGAAGATGAATTACATCTTTGAGTCTTACTCTGTCAAACACTTTCTTTATATCGATCAGATAAAGAAATGCTGGTCTATTATACTCTAGACATCCAGCAAAAAGACAAAAGAGGGAATCTAATCGTTATGAAAATGAGACCAAAATTCATAATATGGCAGACATATCCGAAAATGCAAAGGCACTAAATTTAAATTTTACGCTTCAAAATAATCATACAATGGTGTAGGGGTTCTAATTTATCTAATGGAATTAGTACAAGTTTGAAAATTTTAATATAATGATTATTTTAATTATAAAAATATTTCATGTTTTTTTATA